ACCACAATAAAATGTCGCAGTAGTTGCACTTGTGTTCTTTTACTTAACTAAAAACCATTCATAGTCATTTGTTCTGTCTACAATGGAATTCTGCTGCACACTAACAACCCATTTTTAAGGTTCACAAACGATATCGCAGATCTGCGGAAACTCAAAAGGATTTTCACCGTCCTTTTACTACAGTTATGCACCTAAATTACTGGGAATGTCTAAGCTTCTTGAGTTGTATTCCCTGTAACGTATAAAAGGAGAAATACACCATAATTTACACTTGGAAAATTGTGTACGGTTTGGTCAGAAATCTGGATAACGAAATTCCTGCCTATGAAAACAAGAGGCTGGCAGTCAGTACAACATACAACAGGGAAAGTAGTGGGCCTAACTCAAAATAACTGTAAGGGAACCAAACCTTTCAACATCCTCCCTTCATACAAAAGCGGAATTACTAAAAGACACTTAGTGTCTTCAGGACGAAACATTTCCTCAAGTCATTTCCTGATCAGCCTGGCTGTGGTGTCTACGAGAGATTGCGTGCGGCCAGCAGACCTGGTATGGTACCGGCCGCTTAGGTAGTGACCGCTAGAATGTTCTACAGGTAACTACAGGTTCTAAAGGCTATCTCCTTTACAAAGAATTCCCGGTAATTAATATAGACTTACCCAAGGAAAAGTAATTTTCACGATTATTTCAAAAAAACTTCATTTTTTACAACAATAACCAGACAACTAAACTGTTGGTACCATCAAAACTACGCTATTTAGAGTACACAACCTCTAAATGCAAATTTACGCGGATGAGCGTGAAGGTAGACTATACACACCACATCTTTTAGGAAAGTAGATGCAAACATCTTAAAGGAAAAGGATCTGGGCGTAAAAATTACTTGAGGTATATCACCAAAGGTACACACACACACACACACACACACACACACGTACGTACGTTTAGCATCATATGTAAGATACGCAAATTTAAAATGGCATTCGGGACCATTAACAGAGAACCCTTCAGAACTTTATGCATAACATTTATGCCAATTATTGAGTACGTAGTCACAACGTGGAACTCCCGCTTCGTCAAGCATGTTGTTCCCAAATTCAAAAAGATCATGTGCCTGCAACTAGAACAGTCCAAGAACTGAAAGGAATACATTATGAATCCGACGAATTTGGCAGATATACAAAATTTTAAGAGGCACTGATAGAACAGACTGATGGAGACAAATAGTATAAATTATCGACATGATGGGAAAACAGATAGCATTTCGCCCACACAATGGGCTTTATTAAAACAGATCGAAATAAAAGGACCAGGAACAAGAGGACACCGGTGGAAGTGGAAGCAAAGATGAGCCATACCGATGTTACGTGGATGAAAAGTTAAGAGTGAAAGTGCGGAGGAAAATTCAGTACACAGTTTCAAGAGTCGAAAAGCGGCCAGCAACATGTAATGTCCAAGCAGTCTAGGTAACATGGTCAGTTGCGGAAGCTAGACCCCCGAAAACAGAACTGGGTGAGCATACCATAAGTTTGTCACCACCTTGAGAGATTAAGTGGTGGCGAGACATCGCTTGCTGGCCAAGTGATTGATGGTGTCTTCCACGTAAACACAGGCAGGGGCAGTAAGTTACGACACCACGCCCAACACTTATTGATTCTCACACAGGAGTCAAGAGCCTCGAATTTTTCCCGTTCCTTACCGCCTCATCTCTGCTAAAACAAAAATACAACTGGAAATAAAGAAAAATTGCTGAATGCGACGCATGTTATAACCTGACAACATTTTAAAACGGAGACATTTACATTGCTGGAGGTATCTAAGCTCGAGTAACATTTGAGACGCACATACCTAACATTATCTGAAGATAGTATGGAAGGTCATCGTCCCCCAAGAACCAGGACTCCCTGTGGCAGGAACACACCAGTGATCGACCTCCAACATGTACACTTACAAACACACACACACACACACACACACACACACACACACCACACACACACACACACACACACACACACACACACACACACACACAGCGGTGGAGCACCTGGAACGGAACAAGATTATAAACGATAACCAGCACGGATTCATGGAAGGCAAATCCTGTGTCACAAACCTTCTGGAGTTCTATGACAAAGTTACAGAAGTGCGACTCGAGAGTGAGGGGTGGGTTGATTGCATTTTCTTGGACTGCAAGAAGGCCTTCGACACACTTCCTCACAAGAGACTAGTGCAGAAACTAGAGGATCAGGCGTGTATAACAGGAAGGGCACTGCAATGGATCAGAGAATACCTGACAGGGAGGCAACAACGAGTCATGGTACGGGATGAGGTATCACAGTGGGCACCTGTGGCGAGCGGGGTCCCACAGGGGTCGGTCCTAGGACCAGTGCTATTTCTGGAATATGTGAATGACATGATGGAAGGGATAGACTCTGAGGTGTCCCTGTTTGCAGATGATGTGAAGTTAATGAGGAGAATTAAATCAGATGAGGACAGGCAGGACTTCAAAGAGACCTGGACAGGCTGGACACGTGGTCCAGCAACTGGCTTCTTGAATTCAACCCTGCCAAGTGCAAAGTCATGAGATCGGAGAAGGGCAAAGAAGACCGCAGACAGAGTATAGACTAGGTGGCCAAGGACTGCAACCCTCGCTCAAGGAGAAAGATCTTGGGGTGACCATAACACCGAGCATGTCTCCGGAGGCACACATCAACCAGATAACTGCTGCAGCATACAGGCGCCTGGCAAACCTGAGAATAGCGTTCCGATACCTTAGTAAGGAATCGTTTCAAGACACTGTACACTGTGTACGTCAGGCCCATACTGGAGTATGCAGCTCCAGTTTGAACCCACACTGGGCAAACACGTCAATAAATTAGATAAAGTGCAAAGGTTTGCAACAAGGCTAGTTCCGGAGCTCAGGGGTATGTCCTACGAAGAAAGGCTGAGGGAAATCGGACTGACGACATTGGAGGACATGTGGGTCAGGGGAGACATGATAATGACATACAAAATACTGCGTGGAATAGATAAGGTAGACAGAGACAGGTTTTTTTAGAGAGGGGGGACAGAAACAAGGGGTCACAATTGGAAGCTGAAGACTCAGACGAGTCATAGGGATGTTAGGAAGTATTTCTTGTCACAGAATCGTCAGGAAGTGAAATAGCCTAACAAGTGATGTAGTGGAGGCAGGAACCATACATAGTTTTAAGACGAGGTATGACAAGGCTCTGGAAGCAGAGAGAGGACCTAGTAGCGACCAGTGAAAAGGCGGGGCCAGGAGCTGTGTATCGACCTCTGCAACCACAATTAGGTGAGTACACGCACACACCAGTGAAGAGGCGGGGCCAGGAGCTATAAGTCGACCCCGGCAATCACAATTAGGTTACCTGGTTACCTGGAGGTTATTCCGGGGATCAACGCCCCCGCAGCCCTGTCCATGACCAGGCCTCCCGGTGGATCAAGGCCTAATCAACCAGGCTGTTACTGCTGGCCGCACGCAGTCCAACGTACGAGTACACATACACACAAAGATTTTTTCCGGCGATGAGGTTGCAAACTTTGTTGAAATATACACATTCAAAAACAGGCCACAACTATATTAGCTCGAAATATTAATAATTTTTATAATATTCGATTAGTTTACTGTTTTACTTGCATTATACAGCAAGTAAATTAATTAAGATATAATTATTATTGATGAACGAAAATATTGTTTAGTACATTACTACAGAGCTTGAGCCTTATATGAGACTATGATGTGTTCAGGCTTTACAAAACTGGGCGGAAGGGTGAGGTGAGGTGAGGTGAGGTGAGGTGAGGTGAGGTGAGTTGGTGAGATGATGTGATGTGATGTGATGTGATGTGATGTGATGTTATGTGAGGTGAGGTGAGGTGGGTTGGTGTGTACTCGCCGACCTGTGTTTGTGAGGCAGACATTTACAATGCTTGAGGTGTCTAAGGTCAAGTATAGTAATATTTTTCAACTTTTAAGATGGGAGTAATTTTCCTTGTCGTAATTAAAAGTTACCGATGGCTGTATGTCCCTCTCGTTATATTACTCCAGTACTTCCCAGTCAACCTTATATTACTCCAGTACTTCCCAGTCAACCTTATATTACTCCCGTACTTCCCAGTCAACCTTATATTACTCCCGTACTTCCCAGTCAACCTTATATTACTCCAGTACTTCCCAGTCAACCTTATATTACTCCAGTACTTCCCAGTCAACCTTATATTACTCCAGTACTTCCCAGTCAACCTTATATTACTCCAGTACTTCCCAGTCAACCTTATATTACTCCCGTACTTCCCAGTCAACCTTATATTACTCCCGTACTTCCCAGTCAACCTTATATTACTCCCGTACTTCCCAGTCAACCTTATATTACTCCCGTACTTCCCAGTCAACCTTATATTACTCCAGTACTTCCCAGTCAACCTTATATTACTCCCATACTTCCCAGTCAACCTTATATTACTCCCATACTTCCCAGTCAACCTTATATTACTCCCGTACTTCCCAGTCAACCTTATATTACTCCAGTACTTCCAGTCAACCTTATATTACTCCAGTACTTCCCAGTCAACCTTATATTACTCCAGTACTTCCCAGTCAACCTTATATTACTCCAGTACTTCCCAGTCAACCTTATATTACTCCAGTACTTCCCAGTCAACCTTATATTACTCCAGTACTTCCCAGTCAACCTTATATTACTCCAGTACTTCCCAGTCAATCTTATATTACTCCAGTACTTCCCAGTCAACCTTATATTACTCCAGTACTTCCCAGTCAACCTTATATTACTCCAGTACTTCCCAGTCAACCTTATATTATTCCAGTACTTCCCAGTCAACCTTATATTACTCCAGTACTTCCCAGTCAACCTTATATTACTCCCGTACTTCCCAGTCAACCTTATATTACTCCAGTACTTCCCAGTCAACCTTATATTACTCCAGTACTTCCCAGTCAACCTTATATTACTCCAGTACTTCCCAGTCAACCTTACTGTATATTTGGCTGCCTTCGACAAAAAACTTGTTGACTTTATGACAACCAAAATTACTTTTAGAGATGAATAATAATTTTATAACAAAACAAAACATGAGTTACATCAATATATGTGACTTCAGCGTAACAAAACATGAGTTACATCAATATATGTGGCTTCAGCATAACAAAACACCCAAGTGACATTAATATTAATGAATTCGCCAAAAGTAAACACCCATCACGTCGAGTTCCTCATCGATGATTTGACTATATTAAATAATTAACATGTTTATTCCTCAGATCCTAAACTCATACAATATACCAACCTCTTCATTTTCCTCTCTCGTTTCCAGTCTTCTAAATACAGAACCTAATAACCTGCTGTCTGTTTTCCTTGCGAAACAGGAGTGCACCCCATCCCTTCCACTCTGGAAATCAACAATGCTCCAGCACGCCGCTTATCAATTCACATTTATCAAATACAATGCACAAGATTTCAGCAAGCTTTGCGGTGCAGTCACCGTTGATGGTCAACGTGTGCAGGTTATTGCTGGACACAACTTCACTTATCTGTGATGATGATTAAAATACTGCGCATAGGATCAGCTGCATTCTCTCGACAGTCATCAATTACAACAGGATGTGTTTACATGGCATTCAACAAAGAATCTGGTTTGTTTTTATAAACCTTCTGCCCAACTGGCACCATTTAACGCTATAAATATAAATACGTCAATACCACAAAAGCTATAAATTATCCAGGTCGTATACTATGTAACGAACCCGCTAATTTTACATACACTGTAGCATGATGGGCATAACACATAAAATCAAGCGTGATGTTGTTCTCTTGTTATGGAATGTACAATGCATATATAGAAGGCACATTCGAAAACAAAAAAATAACATTACCTAAAATATTAAATAAAAAATCTACGGCTAGTAAAGAAAGCAATATAACTGCAATCAGTATTAACAAGCACACGAAACAGTTGTTCGTTTTAGGAAAGTTGAACTCAAACTTTTCTAAAATCCTGTTAAACTAATCAATGGCCTCTCACATTCCGGTTATTCGTCACTTACACAATATTGTAATTTCATCTAGGACGCTCATCCCTAACATCATTTATATTACATACATACAAAAACAAGCACACAAGTACACACTCACGCGTACACACACACACAAAAGCAGACAAGACTAAGCGTAAGACATCTGTTGGGCTGTAGAGAACACTACGATAAGCCTGATGGCTCATGTTATAACTCACAGGTGAGTTGTGAGGTTTGGTGCTGCAATACAATTTTCAATGCAAACTTGGGAATCTGCTCCGGGCTTCACTGGCCTTTAGACTGGTTTAAATTTGCAGAGGGTTCTGAGTGGCGATTATATTCATATTGGTTTATATGGATAGTCAATTTTATGTGTGATGTTTGCTTCATTAATCTATGGAAGAGTTGAGAAGTATCATGTATTGTTAGACAGCCGAAGATAGTTTGTGCTAATTCAATATTTTTTTTTTACCCAAGATTATAATCAAGAGGTGTCCAGTCTGGTCTATTTAAACTAACCCACTGTTGTTGCAGGTGATGCTGATGACTTCCGGTGTTCAACAGGATCCTTGACTCACATAATCCTCAGTACACACCTCACTTCATACCTCACAACGGAGTTTGCACCTAATGCCTCCTCGTCATCTGCTCTCCCGACTATATACACCAATGCTTCTTTTTGTGGACAGACTTACTAAAAGCTTGGCCCCTAAGGAAAACCTAATGAAGGTTTACATTTTGCCATAAGACTTATTATCATTAGTACCATTAACAACAGCAACAATAACTAAAACACTAACATCATTAATATTACAGATAACAGCAGCAGTACTAGTAAAAGCAATGATTTAAACACTAATATTATTACTACCAATAACAGCAGCAGCAACAGCAATAATTTAACCCCTAGCACAAGTAGCAGCAGCAGCAAGCGACAGCATTAACGAGGCACCAGGAACATGAACAGACATTACAGGAGCATAAGAGCGTCAAGAGCATCAGTGGGTGGAAGGCAGGTGTAATTGGAGCAACAGGTGGCCTTCTCTCCGATAAGTCATGTTGTGCTCCATTATATTGCTCCCCTTTATCACTGCCCTCACTTCCACGCCTGACATTTTTCACTCTGGCTCAGACATCTCCACTGCACCTGAGATTGAAACAAATTATACTTTGTTTACTTGCATAAACCGCGTGCATGTCCACTCAATTCATTTCTATTTTTTTCCTCCAGTGGAACTGTATTAGTATGTTCTTTACATGATCCAATCCTGTCTCTTATATGCCAAACTACTACACAATTTCCACTCGTTATATTAATAGGATGTGTGTGTGTACAAGAGAGAGAGAGAGAGAGAGAGAGAGAGAGAGAGAGAGAGAGAGAGAGAGAGAGAGAGAGAGAGAGAGAGAGAGAGAGAGAGAGAGAGAGAGAGAGAGAGAGAGAGAGAGAGAGAGAGAGAAAGTGAAACTGAGTGTGTGTTGTGTATGTGCTTTCTCTTCCACTGTGCCACTACAGCTTAACAGACTAAGTGATGCAATGAACAACTGTTCAGTGTTTAAGGTTACCAGACAGCGACTGAATTTCCTGGAGTTGTACGGTGACCAGCCCTGGTAAGGAGTGAAGGCAACCTTGGCCACCCACTGCACCAGGTATTCCGTGCAGGAATTCGAAAAACACAAGCTTGCAGAGGTCTTTCAGGGCCCTGCACTTAGAAAACCTACTAACAGTACTAAGTTGCTGCTGTCATTACCAATAATCCTCGTAACTAAAGCGTTTGCTATCATAAGTGAGAGACTTTGTTCGCAGAGCAACCTTTACCACGACTAAACTTTGTCAAGTATGATAGAAATACTTGATAAAGTTCAGTGTTGGATCATACGCATCGAGAAAGGTTTCGCCGCAGTATCTTTCTCGCTACAATACTTTTCGGTTTACGCCGTCGTTCATCCACTTGTTGTTATCGTGTGACACTTGTTACAACGATGCAAAAATCATCACACTGCCAGCTGTTCAATTCAAAGTTTACTAGTCGCATTTCACAAAACCACAACTTCAATGAATATTAAAGAATCACCACAGTATAAGGCAAGATCTCAAAGGGGTAGGGGAGGTTGCATTCTGGTTTGATCCGAAGAGGGGAAAAAGACCAAATAGACTCCAGTTTCTCGGACCAAGAGGCCTTCACGCTCAAAGAGCCTCCATATAGAGGCACGAGGTACTTACTTTCACAGGTCTGCATTTTAAGGCTAGACTAAAGCAGCAGCAGCACGTACCTGCAACGAAAAAAATATGTCAATGGTATGATATGTTAATATTATATGTTAAAAAGGAACAATATGTAGCTTATAGACATGTTAATGAAAAGACGTTTCGTCCACCAGAGACTTTATTAATAAAGTATCTGGTGGATGAAACGTCTTCTAAGTAAACTGCCATTAACCGCATATTGTGTCTTACTGAAAAATAATAATTTAATCAGAGAAAATAAGAAAACACGAATAGAAGGAAATATTATTCCGTCTCTTATCAAGCTACATGTACATACATTCAGAAATGTACATACATGTAGGAAGAGTCACAAGCGCACATACATGTAGGTACAGTTACAAGGGCATATACACGTAGATACAGTTACAAGGGCCCATACAAGTAGGTACCGTCAAACAAAGATCCAGTCAGTTACAGATGAGCTCCCTTCAGGTACAGTTACATACCAACTAGAAACATGTGCATACTATCACATGTATATACACTCAATTACAATCAGCCAAGTACTAAGTTTACATAAGATATGCGATAAACTCGCGATTTATACCATTATGTGGTGAACAACATTTCTCCCTACACTGGAAAGAATGTGAAAGCCTAATAAACCAGTTTACGTCAGTAGCAAGTATCTGGAAGTGGTTTGGAAAAAAAAACACGTATAGTAAATACAGACCTTTTCTTAATGTGACATTTCACCTACAAGAGGCTATATCAGAACTTGATAAAGCCTTTCATTTTAATTTTTTTTAACACTCGTGTGAGCGCTACATCATTCCAAGTACCTAGGACTCTACCAAGCCATCCCTTAACTGTTAACATTTACAAATCACCAAGGAAGGAAGCAAGTGCAGGTAAGATCCCAATGGGATGAGCGGGGAAGACGGGACAGACGAAGAATAGCGCTGGAGAGGAGTGTTCTTAGTCGTAGAAATAGAGCCAGGGCTTGACCCAGCAGCTAAGGCGATCGTGGGACAGACTTGGAGAAAAAACGGGAAGAGAGCAAGCTGTGTATGGAACTGAACTTCTCCAGGCTGAGGGACCGACAACCCCAAAATCCACGACCTCAAGGGCGATGGACCGACCACACCGCCCCCACACCTCCACTGCTCCCGCCCACCTTCTGCACTGAAGAAGCCTACTGAGTAGGCGAAACGCCCCGGAACAAAGTCGCCCATCTGTTGCCTGTATGTCTCACCCACCAGTCTCGTGGTAGGTGAGGTCTTTGAGTCTCGAGAGCTGGAAGTTTCCAGGTCGCAGGAGAGGGCATCAGACATGTGGGAGGTTATTTTAGTAGTTGAGGAGGCAGGTTTGCAGTGGAGCCATTTGCAGACTTCTTGAAGCTGCTCCTGGAGAGGTGGTATAGCGTTGTCTTGTTGGAAAAAGTGAAACGAAGAGGCTTGATGAACTCAAGAACTTGCGTGAATGTGAAGTGAAGTGGTGATTCGCAGGTATACTTGACTGTTCCATCACCGAGGCCTTTGTGTAGTTCAGAGCAGGTCATGGTGTCAGCGTTCGAGGGAGAGGTGTAGAAAGTAAGGTTTTCCCAAGAGGGTGTGCTGGAGTCGTCGCTATCTGCTTCGTCGGGGGATTCGTCAAGAAATTCTTGTTCAATTGTTTCTACAGTGATTGTGTCAAGAGGAGGCTGGGAGTCTAGAGTATTTGCGGTCTGGCTGGGTGTTGGTGGTTGTTGAGAGGTGGCAGTGGTCACTGGGCGTGGTTCAGGAGTGTTTTTTGGGGCAGAGTTAGGATTTGGGCCTGAAGTTGATGTGAAGTTAGCGATGTTTGGGATAATCTTGAGGAAGTCCTGTGATGTTGGCGAGTCAGGAAAGTTGAATGACGGCATGTTGTTAAGACGGAATAGTTCGTTAATTGTAGTGTTGAATGTGCCTGGGTTTGCTGCATTTGCAAGGTGTGCATACATCATGCAGTACAACACCTTAGAGGGAAGCAGCGTCAGGGAGTGCAGAAAGGGAATTGCTGGATAGAGATGACTGCTGTGTGGCTTGTAGAATTCTGGTGGTGTCCGACTGGAGTTTTGAAATGGCGGTGTATGTCGGCGATTGGGACTATTCTTCTTGGTTTCTTCTTTAATTTTTTTCGACATTACTTCTTTTCGTAGTGGGCATTTAGCTGCAAGGGTATGATGAGTACCCTTGCAGTTAAGACATGTTGGAGTGGCATTGGTGGTGGTGCAGGCTTTGAAGTTATGACCTTCTTTTCCACAGGTAGAACAGAACTTTTTGTCTTTAATGGGGCAGTCCTTTGTTAAATGTTGATAAGAGTAACAGTTCCAACAGGGAGAGACATGGGCAAAACGTTCAGGTTCAATGTGGCGTGGATGTATGTGGTAATATGAGATAGCTAGTCCATTAGCGAGTGCTTGGGTTTGCCATATCTATGTTTGAAAAGGTGGGTTTTGATCATAGATGAGGCATTGGGAATTCGTGTGATGGTGTCTACAGAGCCCAGGTGTTTTGGTCTTCGATAGAGGTCTTCAGTTCATCCGTTGGAATAGATGTGATTATCTTATCCAATTGTTTAACAAAAACTGAACGTTTCGCCAGCAAGGAGGGAGACGGTGATATGATGAATTGTCGGTCCCGTAATGTGTTCATTGCAGTGTCGTCCATAAGTTTAGCTGCTTCATTGTCGTCGGTGCAGACGACAATAAAGGAATCCTTGAGTGAGTGGATCGCTGTGAATTTGAGATGTAGGCAGGTCCTCATAGCGGCAGCAAGTAATAGTTTAGTGGAATCATTTATAACACCACTGGCTGGTTTGATTTTAACACGATGTGCGAACATTGTCGAACAGGTAGAGGTTACCCTCCCCAACGGGAATCGTAGGGAGACTGACACAAATCACCATAAATAATTATACGTCGAACTGTCAACTTTTGTGAAGGTTTAACGTCCTTTTTACCATCCACCGTATGCTACATTTATAAACAATTAAAGTGACAGTTTGACGTTCTATCGCTCATACCTTTGAATGCTAACCGTGATATGTTATTGAAGGCTTTCGAGAGTTTTTCTACTCTCACTCGGCCACACTTATAACCACTTATGTGAAGGTTTGACCACCTTAAGCTACACTGATAACTCTCCTTGTATCGCATTATCAAATGTGGTGACCAGGGGTCCCAGAGATATTTGATGCACTTTACCACAGCATGTAAAATCTTTACTACAGCATGCAAGATCTTCACTATAACATGGAAGACCTTCACCATAGCATTCCTGATCTCACCAAAGAATGCACGATCTTCACCTAGGTATACATGATCTTCACAAACCTAATCTAGGACTTCTGAGACGCTAGCACATATGATAATCAATAAGCTTCGCCCACTACCAGATACTGCAGTCGTACGATATAATCCACCAAACTCCACTCCTTAGGGGCCTTCCTTCCCTCACTATGTATGCCCATGTTTTCTTATCCTCTTGAACATTTACAGTAGCCAAGGTCTCAAGACCGAAATGTTTATAATAACCCAGTGCTAGTGATTGCAATTCGTGTCTTCTCCACTGATAACTAATCATGTAGTCACTCAGTGTCCCAAGGAACTAAAACTACCATTCTCATTCAAAATTTATCATCTGATTATATATATATATATATATATATATATATATATATATATATATATATATATATATATATATATATATAAACATGGAATAGGTGGCATGTTACTGAAAGCAGTGAAAAGTTTTTACGAGGAGTGTGAGGCTCAGGTTAGAGTAAGCAGTAAAGAGATTGTTTCCCAGTAAAAGTAGGCCTTAGACAGGGATGTGTGATATCACCATGGTTGTTCAATATATTTATAGATGGGGTTGTAAGAGAAGTGAAAGCTCGGGTGTTGGCAAGAGGTGTGGGATTAACAGACAGAATCTAATATAAAGTGAGAGTTGTCAAAGTTGCTTTTCGCTGACACTGAGCTTTTGGAAAATCACTCCCTACGAGAGTAAAAGACTGGGCAGGCGGTGCAAAATACCCCCAATGAAAAGTAGGGGTGTCATTGGTACACTAAGAGAAAACACAGTAAGTGTCCGGGGCCCAAGACTGTTTAACAGCCTCTCACCATGCATAAGGGGAATTAAAAAATATACCCCTGGCTGCCTTGAAGAGGGAACTGGACAGATAAACTCAGTGCCGGATCAGCCGGGCTGTGGTTCGTATGTTGGACTACGTGCGGCCAACAGTAACAGCCTGGTTGATCAGGCCCTGAGCCACCAGGAGGCCTGGTCATGAGCTGGGCCGCGGGGGCGTTGATCCCTGGAATACCCCCAGGTAGACTTCAGGTAGGCAAGTAGGTTGGTGAACGAATTTGGAAAGGCATGTAAAAGAAGGAATTTAAAAATGAACATCGAAAAAGCAATGTGATGAGGATAACAAAAAAATTAGGTAATGAAAGATTGGAGGGAGTTTGGAGGAAATTAATCAATTCAGATATCTGAGAGTCGACTTGTCAGCAGATGGGTCCATGAAAGAGGTGAATCACAAAACTGAAGAGGGAAAATAGGCGAGTGGTGCACCGAGGAGTCTGTGAAGACAAAGAACGTTATCCATGGAAGCAAAGAGGGGAATGCATGAGATTATAGTGGTACCAACGTTCTTACATAAATGTGAAGCATGGGTGGTACATGTTGCAACAAGGAGAAGGCTGGAGGAGGTGGAGATGTCGTGTCTGAGGTCAATGTGTGGTGTGAATATAATGCAGAGAATCCGTAGCTTGGAGAGAAGGAGGTGAAGGGTTTCTAAAAGTATTATCCAGAGGGCAGAGGAAGGGTTGAGGTGATTCGGACATTAGAAAGGATGGACCAAAACAGAATAACTTGAAGGGCGTATAAAATTGTAGTGGAAGAAAGGCGAGATCTGGGTCGTCCTAGGAAAGTTTGAAGGGAGGGGATAAAGGTGGTTTTGTGTGCAAGGGGCTTGGATTTCCAGCAGGCTTACGTGAGCGTGTTAAGAGCGAGTGGAGACAAACGGTTTTTATGAC